AAACTTCCTGAGATAGAAAGCTACCTCCTCTCATGTATCAATTCAGAGAACTCACTTGAAGATTAGAGTCAAGAAACACAAAGTAGTAACCAAGACACCAATGACAAAGCCTATCAAGCAAACCAGATAAACCCTAATTTCTCTTGTGTGGCCTCCTGCCTTGAAGGCCATGGTCCTCTCTGTTACTCTCTGATGCATATAAGCTAGATACCTTCCTATCAAAGCAGATATATGCATATCTTAACATATGAATGAACAAGGCTTATTCTAATGTATTCTACCGAGGATAAGAAACTGGGGAATGAGAAATATATTCCAATTATGGAAACGTGGAGAATAAACCATGAAGTTTTGGAGGTGAAAAATCATCTCTAGTCAATGCAGAAAGAGTGAATTAAGACATCTTTAATTCCAAAGTGAATAAGTGACAAGGCGAAAGGAAGGGAAAGGTGACACATGACACAATGGCCAAGAATTCCAGTTAATGATGGTTTAGATCTATAAGATCTAAACTTTAGATCTATAAGTTTTGAAAGGAATGGAACAAAACAATAAGATTTTCACCTTTAACTCGGGGGAGGGGGGATGGGGTGTCGATTTGAATGAACATCTGAGAAGTCAGGTACGACACATCCCCACAAGGACAATTCTTCACTAATCTCAGTGCCAATGACTGGCTGTGTGTGTGTGTGTGTGTGTGTGTGTGTGTGTGTGTGTGTGTGTGTGTGTGTGTGTGGCAGGGATAGGGAATGGGGTGACAATCAACTACATCCTTAATATTTCCAAGCTGAATCCTCCTTAGGGTGGGGAGAACCACCAGGTACCTTAGGAAAAAGTCTTGAAGTGTTCTATTTCAGTTCCTGAAGGCTCCCTGGGGTGATGTGTGTAAGAAGCATCTTATGTAAGTGTCTTCCTCGAAGTCAGGGGTGAGACCGGAAAACACTGGTGACGTGAGGAGAGCATGTTTAGCTGATACGGTTAATACACTCCTGTGTCAGAAGAAGGGCAGGGCCCTTTCTCAGTTGCTTTGGGGAGAATGGTTCTGAAAGAACAATGGCTATTCTGGTGCAGATGCTGTGGGGAGTAAGAAAAGGGGCCAATAAAGCCAGATTCAGGAGATTTTGTGCCACTTCCCAGTAAGGAAACTTTAGCCTGAAGTTGGTCACTTCTCTTAAATTGAAATATCAATGATTCCACTGAGGAACAGCATGACGCGCAGTGTATCACACTTAGCATATAAGAATTGCAGCGCTCACACCTCCTCTGGCACTGAGTCTCAATTTTGATGGCATGCAAATTTTGGGGAGAGGGAGAATGAACTCATGGCTCAAGAATCTGGCAACTGCTTGCATTTCACTGGAAAGAAGCATCATTAAGAAGCTAGGAATCTGAGTCACTTAATATCAGGCTTCAGCTAAATTCTTAAATGGTTACATAACACCACTAATTTTTAAGAACAAGAAAGGGTTTTTTTTTTTTTTTTTTAATGTCAGGGCTTTAGGATTTCCTCTGTTTTTCATACTACAAAAATGCCCTGTCTGACCCTTCCATATATGTAGATATTGCTTATTGCTTTTTTCTTGATGAATGAAAGCTTTCTGCATCTTCAGATACAACCCATTATTAACCTGACTCTCCAAGCTCACGACTTTCTTTAGGTTAAGTAACTCATCTCTCTATGATAATACTTCATGTCTACAAAATCAGGTAAAATATGAAGAATTCCATTGCAATAATTAAAATATCACTGATATCCCAGTTGGCTCTCACACACTGTCAAATAACTGAATTAAAAATTATAAACCACGCCTCAAATCCTGGAAGCTTCACAACACACAGATAACACATCTGAATGAATAACAAAAGTTTTCACTCAGGCTGTGACATTTTGACATGAAGTAGAAATAGATTTTAAATTTTGGAAAATGAATAAAGGAAATTTTTGAAAATTAATTTAAAAAATCTTTTGGACTTCTATATGAATACCTCCCCAAAATTAGCTATAATAAAATCAGAAAAACAAACATATCAGTTTTATGCTTATTATTAACCAAAGGCATCCTTTTGTGAGAACAAGTAACACAAACAACTAACATTAATTTGCTTACGCTGCAAGAGCTTCTTTTCCCAGAATTTTTAAAAAGATGAAAAAACAAAACAGATAAAAGAAGATATCATAACTTAATACATGACACTGTCTAGAGCAACAAGAGCAAATAACCATGTTCCTCTTACATACTCAGCATTAAATTATCTTTCACAAAGTAAAAGGCATTTTTTGAACCGACAGAGCAATATGTACAGTTAGAGGTATAGAACTCCCACATCCTGGCCTTTAAATTGTTCTTCTTATAAGAAAGCAGCATTTATGAGCCCATAATGACTATTTTAAATCCCCTGAATCACATCGCAATAGAAAAACACTGTGTAGCAGGCTGTATAATGGCATATTTAAATATGACCCCAAATCCCACACTTCTATAATCTATATTAAGTTGTGAGCAAATACAGGCATTTCTACCTTGATCGTTTCTCTAAGCAAAGGTTAACTAGAAAGGCCAGCCTTAGGAAGAAATAGAATACATACCATGATATAGTCTCTTTCGTTAGAAACGGCAAGGAGAACAGATTTAAATTAAGACTTGGTGTATAAAAGCTGAAAGCATAGAATTTGTATCCACATAATGAACTGATGTCTCCTCTAAAGACGTCAGATTGCTGTTCAGCTAAACTATCTAAAAATACCTCCTTGCAAACACACACACACACACACACACACACACGCGTGCGCGCGCGAAATGACTACAAAGACAGGTCTTACTAAGCAGCTCTGCTTGCACAAAATCACTTAATAAGTGAGGAAAATTTTTTAAGTACTTGTGAAATTTGAACAGGAATTTTTCTTAGCAACTATGATCTTTTATGAGCTATTTTGAAAACCAGTACCAATTTGTAAAAAGTAGTTAATGATGGACCTTAAAGCAAATCATAATTGATCTAAAGATGTCCAACAGAGAATCATGTTCTATGAACTTAAAATGAGATAAGGGAAAATACGTGTCTGAATCACTGTCAACATTCTATTTAAAAACCAAAAAAGGGAAATCTTCTGGCTGGAAAAGTGGGAATGTAGTTCATGGATGCCACTGTGTGCAAGATCCTGTGCCATATATGGAACCCCCCAGAAGCAACCTATGAGGTAAGCATCATGAACAGCACTTTACAGACTAGTAAAAATGGTTCCGAACATTCAAGTCATCTGTTCAATGCCACACAGCTACACAGAAGAGGTGGGTCTCCAACCCACAAAGGACTGACCCTGGAGTACTATAATCTAATGTCGATAACTGACACTCACATAGGCTTTAGAGTTTGCAAAAAGACTCTGAAAACATTAACTCTTTTTATATTTTCCTCCTTTAAACCTCAAGTTTTTCATCTGTAAGACTGGGAGAATCTCACTTGGCTCCTAGTATCATTTTGATGATTGAAGAAAATAATATATGTAAAGCACTTAGTAAAATAATGTAGCTATTACCATAATCACTCAAATTCATGCTGTGGGGAGACTGGCATTGTAATCATGATCTCCGCTGTGAACTGAGAAAACAGGAACTTCAAGACGTCAGATGACTTGCCTCATGCCGCAGAGCAACTAAGCCCGTGCACCACAACTACTGAGCCCGCATGCCACAACTACTGAGCCCACGCGCCTAGAACCCGTGCTCCGCAACAAGGGAAGCCACTGCAGTGAGAAGCCTGCGCACCGCAGCGAAGAGTAGCCCCCGGTAGCCCCCGCTCGCTGCAAACTAGAGAAAGCTCATGTGCAGCAACGAAGACCCGATGCAGCCAAAAATAAATAAATACATACATACATAAATTAAAAAAAAAAACGACTTGCCTAGTAGCCGCGCAGCTAGTCAACATCAGAACAAGGACTCAAAGCACGGTCTCGGTACACATTTTATTGTTCTCCTACACAAAAAGCCTAGCTAAAGTAGTCCCTTCCTTCCTAGTACTAAGGGGAAAGGCTCACAGTTGAAATGAAGGGGATTTTGCTTTCAATGTCCTCACCAGCACGCTTGACGGTGTCAGGCACTGGGCAGCGGTCAGAAGTGAGTTTTGCTGCACGTGACACTTTCGTGTGCATCCCTTTTGCTCTCAGGCTCAGGCTAACCCTTCAAAGACACTCGTCAACTTTATACTATAAAGCAATTGTCGGCAATATCTCTTTTCCACAGCATCTTTGGATAACACTTGAAGGAGGGAACAAAACAGAAGAGCTAATACGTAGTAATGAATATATCCATGGCTAACACAGCCGGTACTTGATACATATGCCTTGAAGGATGCTCTCTAACCCTGCCTAGGATGAGGAAGCCCTGCCCATCCTCCTCCTTACAAAGGATGGATACTGAATCCAGGGCCAGTAGCAGAGCCAAGACAAACTGTTCTTTTTTTTTTTTTTTTTAATTCTTAATTGGAGCATAGTTGATTAACAATGTTGTGCTACCTTCAGGTGTACAGCAAAGTGATTCAGTTACACATATACATGTATCTATACTTCTTCAGATGCTTTTCCCACATGGGCCAGCACAAAATATTGAGTAGCGTCCCCTGTGCTACACAGTACGTCCTTGTTGGTTATCTATTCTAGATATAGCAGTGTGCACGTTAATCCCAAATAAGTAAGACAAAGACAAATATCATATGATATCACCTATATGTGTAATCTAAAAAAAGAATGATACAAATGAACTTATTTACAAGACAAGGCTGTTCTTTGTTTGTTTGTTTGTTTTTGCGGTACACGGGCCTCTCACTGCTGTGACCTCTCCCGTTGCGGAGCACAGGCTCTGGACGCGCAGGCTCAGCGGCCATGGCTCACGGGCCCAGCTGCTCCGCGGCACGTGGGATCTTCCCGGACCGGGGCACGAACCCTTGTCCCCTGCATCGGCACGCGGACTCTCAACCACTGCGCCACCAGGGAAGTCCTACTGACCTGTCTCGTGTTTACACCATAAGAAAAGCCGATATAATAGCTGTTTTCCTGGAAGCCTTTTCCTGGCAGTCACAACAGGAAGAGGCCTGTGAAGAACCTCAGGGAGCAGAGTCCTCTCCATTAGGCTGCAGCACTTAAGGTTTATCACAGGAAAAAAACCAACGATTCAGTCCTTGGCATCTCCTACTCCATCCGCATTGATGGCAAACATAGCTTCAGCTTCAGGAAGACAAGGAGAGTCATAGATTTTGCTGATTCTGGTTTCCCCTCTTCCTTTTCTCAGGTACAGTCTTGTTGTTGAGGCATGAGCAATGATATTTCCTCCAATAGGTTTTTTAGGATCTGCAGCAAACATGGCTGCTCCATCCACTTGGGCTACCACCTGGTTGGTGATTACCACTGCTACACCAAACTCATCAGCAAGTCGCAGAAGCATCCGCAGAAACCTGGCCAAGTGCATCTGCCTGGCAGAAAGCTCACCTCGACCCGAATAGTCTGTTCTGTAGAGGGCGGTGGCACTGTCTACAATTAGCAGTGCATACCTGGACTCTACCATCATGGCTGACGCTTGATAAAGGAGCTGGGTCTGGTGGTCTGTGTTGAACCCTCGAGCATATGCTACATTATCCAGGACATCACTGCCAGAGAGGCCATATCTCTCAGCCACTGCTAGCAGCCGTTCTGGCCTAAAGGTACCCTCGGTGTCAATGTACATGGCCTTTCCTTCACCTCCACCTCGGTCAATGGGAAGCTGGCATGTTACAGCCAACGTATGACAGATCTGGGTCTTCCCAGTTCGGAATTCTCCAAACATCTCTGTGATGGATCCAGTCTCAATTCCTCCTTGAAGTAGTTTGTCAAGCTCTTTGGAGCCGGTAGTAATCTGTATGATCTCAGACCGCCTTTGGTGGAACTCAGTTGCAGTGGTGAAACCCATTGGAACTAATTTAGCTGCCTCAGTCAGAATTTTATCAGCTTTGGCTTCACTAATCCCCTTAATATTTATTAGCTCCTTCTTTGGTGCATAGGCAACAGCCTCCACAGTATGGAATCCAGCTTCTTCCAATTTCTTCACATCATTGGCATGTATGCCACATTGCTCTAATCGAGAAATAGGTTGTGGGCCAAAGCTCTCTTCTTCCACTGAAGTATCTGCATTTGCTTCAAGCTGCATCTGCATAGCCATTACTTAGTGTTCAATACTCAGCCTGCAGCGTAACTCCCCAAGACTGTTCTTAATGCAAGGAGAAGCATCATCACTGGATACCAGGTCACTTCATGATGGCCGTGTGAAAGTACAGCCCCCTACAAGTTACAGCTATGTTCCACAGTCCCAAGAATATGTGTTACAGCGATAATGGCTAAAGAGATGTCAAAATTGTAATAAAGATGGACCTACCCAAGACTGTTCTTAATGCAAGGAGAAGCATCATCACTGGATACCAGGTCACTTCATGATGGCCGTGTGAAAGTACAGCCCCCTACAAGTTACAGCTATGTTCCACAGTCCCAAGAATATGTGTTACAGCGATAATGGCTAAAGAGATGTCAAAATTGTAATAAAGATGGACCTAATTATTATTCACATCTGTATTTTAAATGTCTAAGACAGTGTTGCTAAGTCTGTCTGGCTGAGAAAACTCTTTCATCTGGCTATATGCTAAAATTAGCTCCTTATGAATTACTTATCTAACTGGAAACAAATGAAGAGAGCAATCATATCATCCAAACAGTAAGTCAGAAACAGGATTCTTTTCTATAGTCAAGTCTAAAAACAGAGTAATTGTAAAAGACCTCTGGAGAACCATAGAGATGGGAAATCTCAGATAAGCATGGTGACCTTCCTGTAAAAAGTTGCATTAACAAGAGAAAACCTTCATGTAAAGAGTTATTCTTCAATACAGAATTGTATTCTTGCCATTCTGGCCAAACTTGAAGGGTTTATTTCCTTCAACATCAAAGCACTCTATATTTTATGGTTAGGAATGGTAGTCACTACATCACGCATAAGAAATCCCTTCGAAACTTACACTAAAGAAAATCAACTCGGAATGTAGGGGGAGGAATAACCTGTTCTCAAACTGTCTGATGAGAATTATAATCCACGGGACACACAGAAAACAAGGAATGGTCCATCCTTGGCAACGATGTAGGAGAAGCAAATTTAGGTATTTCATGTAGCTTCCAAAAACAGATCTGCATGTGCACACGTGTGTGGGTGTGTGTGTCTGCATGTTACAAGGAGAGACTGCCATTGGCTCCACCAGGTATTAGCTGTATTACTTTGGGAAAGTTACTTTACCGCTCTGTGCCTTAATTTCTTCATGTATAAGAAGGGGATATACTTCTATTGTAGAACATCGCCTAAGAACACAGAAAGCCTTCCACTTTAGCTAATGACATTATTGCTATTATTTTTTTACTCTAATATTGAATAATCAAGAGAAGGTTGCTTGCTGAGTATGGATCTGTAGAGAAAACAAAGCGAATCAACTCAAGGACACGTCGTCTAAGCAAAGGGAAAACCTAACACACAGTCTCTGACCCACCTGCGCGACAGATTTAATTCTCCTTATCTTCTGGATAAACAACATCTTTAAAAAACCTAAGAACTGTGCTTGTGATGGGCCATGCATCGCTCTAAGCCTTTACAGATTTTTTCCTCTAATCGTCACACAACCATTTATCTCCATTTGACAAAGGAGGATTCCATGTAATAGAAAAGCTAAACACTTAGCCAGCGAGTGGTGAAGCCAGAACGTAGATCCGGGCTCCTGGCTCTGCAGCCTTGCTCTGATCATGAGGCTACAGTTCTTATTAATCCCTTCCCTTCGTGTAATTTTCTTCACAAGGGTTACAGCTGGTCAGATGACAGCCTTCATGACCACAGGTACAAAGTATTTCCCGCACTGGGTTGTGTGTACAGACGGGTCTCTAGGAGCAGCATCGTTTTCTCACTGAGAACCACGCCCCCCCCCCCAACCCAGCCCCTGATAAGTCCTGGGAGGTCCTGCAGATCCCTGGGTAGTTACTGGGTTGGCCAAAAAGTTCGTTCGGGATCCCCCCCCCATAACGGCTGGGGAAACCCGAAGGAACTTTCTGGCCAGTCCCAATATTTCAGTGTATTTCAGGATTCGGGTTCCTCTGGGGTAGGAACAACAGCATTCTATCAATGATGAGAGTGTGGCACTGAATATGAGAGCAGGGCATCTCCAACTCGCTTCACCTTGGGCTTCTACTCTTCTATGATGACTCTGATGCTCTACTTAAAACCTCCAAATGCATCTGCCTGAAACGCCCTTGCCCCCCACGTCCAACCTTATGCCCCTGGTGGGCTCCAGCTGCCCGGCACATTCCCTGCCCATCCCACCCCCATCCATAAGACTCCGGGCACGTGTCAGCGGGTCTCTCTCTGCTACTAGTCTGTGAGCAGGTCTAAGACAGGAGCCAAGACGTCCTCACACTAAAATACCCGAGACCAAACACAGAACACAGTTCCCTCAAACAAGTCATCTGGCATATCTAGTTCCACAACTGTAAGCCCACTACTCTTATTGTAATATACAGATATGGCAACATTAAGCACACCATTATACTAACGTGGCTAATAGTACATTTCACAGATTCTAAGGTGCACAGTTTCTTTTTTAATTTTAACATCTTTGAAACCGGGATCTGTCTTACAGTCAATGAAAAGAAAATCCTGGGTCCTTGAAAGTCAAGTGAACTAACCCCCAGTACCTTACATTAGCCAACTATGGGCAGATTAACAGAGGTGGTGTGACTACCAGCCACCCTAAAGGAAGCCCTAACACAAAGCCCAGACTTCAGAAACCAAAATCGGGAACACGGTTATCCCACATCACACTTTTATTTCCTTATATTTTACTGTTGATGGCTTTCTAATGACTACATAAATCGACAGCATGAGGCCAAAGCTCTCAAAGACTTGACATTCGAAGGCCTCTCCTTCATCAACCTGCATCTCCCAGCTGCCCCTCCATGCCGGCCAGGCCAGCCACACTGATCCACTCAATTTTACTGGCATAATTTCTTAGGAGGTAGTGGAATATTTGTTATTAGGATCTGGCAAGAAATCCTAGCCTGAAAATAGACACTGTAGCTTAAGAAACGATTTGTGTAGGCATAGTAAAGAGGGTATATGAAGATAGACTAGGAGTTCTAAGCACAGAATTTCAAAAATGTGGCATAATAAATCTTTTTCACTGAGAGAATTAGCATATATTCTAATATATATATTAGAATTTAATAATTATTATATTAATTAATTAATTATATTAAATTATATATATATATATATATATATATATATAAATATATAATTTATTTATTTATTTTTGGCTGCATTGGGTCGTCGTTGCTGCGCGCAGGCTTTCCCTAGTTGCGGCGAGCGAGAGCTACTCTTCGTTGCGGTGCGTGGGCTTCTCATTGCGGTGGCTTCTCTTGTTGGGAGCTCGGGCTCTAGGCACACGGGCTCAGTAGTTGTGGCACATGGGTTCAGTAGCTGTGGTTCGCGGGCTCAGTGGTTGTGGCTTGCGGGCTCTAGAGTGCAGGCTCAGTAGTTGTGGCGCACAGGCTTAGTTGCTCTGCGGCATGTGGTATCTTCCTGGACCAGGGCTCCAACCTGTGTCCCCTGCGCTGGCAGGCGGATTCTTAACCACTGCGCCACCAGGGAAGTGCCCCGCTCACTGTTCCTTAATTGTACACAGACACTTTCGATTCACCGCTTCAGCTCATTCCTCTTGCCTTGCAAAAAGCCCCGTTTCCTTTTCTCTTTACACCTCGCTTGTCTCCTACCCCTGTTTGCGGCACAGCTCAATTCTTATTTCCTTCTTCATCTACCTGAGTCACAAATGACATTCCT